CCTTTGATGCCTGTGTGTCCCCTCCCGTCCCCGAGTGTCCCCTCCATTTCCTGAGTGTCCCCGCCGGTCCCCGCGTGTCCCTCCATTCCCTGAGTGTCCCCGCTGGTCCCCGCGTGTCCCTGTATACCCTGAGTGTCCCCTCCCGTCCCTGAGTGTCCCCTCCATTCCCTGAATGTCCCCTCCATTCCCTGAGTGTCCCCTCCATTCCCTGAGTGTCCCCTCCGGTCCCTGAGTGTCCCCGCTGGTCCCCGCGTGTCCCTGTATACCTTGAGTGTCCCCTCCCGTCCCTGAGTGTCCCCTCCATTCCCTGAGTGTCCCCTCCATTCCCTGAGTGTCCCCGCCAGTCCCCGAGTGTCCCCTCCAGTCCCCGAGTGTCCCCGCCGGTCCCCGACTGTCCCCGCCGGTCCCCGAGTGTCCCCGCCGGTCCCTGAGTGTCCCCGCCGGTCCCCGAGTGTCCCCGTCGTTGCCGGTACCTGAGCCGGTGTCCCCCGGTGCGCTCGGTGATGCGGGATTGTCCCCACGCGGTCCCCGAGTGTCCCCGCCAGTCCCCGTGTGTCCCCTGCGGTCCCCGAGTGTCCCCTCCATTCCCAGCGTGTCCCCTGCGGTCCCCGCGTGTCCCCGCCGGTCCCAGGCAGGGCCCCGTGGAGTTTGAACCTTGAACTTGAGCGAGGCGGTGACAGGCGGGGACAGAGCGCGGGGCGGCGGTGACAGATGGCACCTGCGGGGGGACGGCACCGGACGGGACAGGACGGGACACAGCGCGGGGACAGGAGAGCGCAGGTATGGCAGCTGCGGGGGACAGAGGGACATGGGGACAGGCAGGGGACAGACAGACACAGGGGGGACAGACAGGCAGGGGGACAAGAAGGGGACAGACAGACATGGGGACAGGCAGGGGACAGAGAGAAATGGGGACAGAAGGACATGGGGACAGGCAGGGGACAGAGGGACATGGGGACAGAGGGGACAGACAGACACAGAGGGGACAGACAGACACAGAGGGGACAGACAGACACAGAGGGGACACGACACGGTGACAGGCAGACCCAGAGGGGACAGCCAGGGTGCCACACCCGGGTGCTGGCGGTGGCGCTGAGCCCACAGGGGACACGGTGGTGGCTCTCCCGCCACCGCTGTCCCCACAGGAAGGTCCCTGTCACCAGCACCACGGGGGGACTGGCACTGTCCCCGTCCTGGGGACTCCCGGGCAGCGCTGTCCCCAGGTGTCACCGCCACCTTCGGGGTACCCCGGTCGCCCTGTGCCCCGACATTCCCCGTGTCCCCTGTGTCCCCAATCTCCCCATGTCCCCGGTGTCCCCACATGTCCCCCGTGTCACCCCATGTCCCCCTATGTCCCCC